CAATTCTCCTGCCTCAGCCTCCCAAGTAGCTGGGATTACAGGCATGTGCCACCATGCCTGGTTAATTTTGTATTTTTAGTAGAGATAGGGTTTCTCCATGTTGGTCAGGCTGGTCTTGAACTCCCAACCTCAGGTGATCCGCCCACCTCAGCCTCCCAAAGTGCTGGATTACAGGGGTGAGCCATCGAGCCCGGCAAAATTTTTAAGTTTTTTGTAGAGATGGGGGTCTTACTGCATTGCCCAAACTGATCTCCACCTTCTGGGCTCAAGCAATCCTCCCTGCTCAGCCTCCCAAAGTGCCGGAATTACAGGTGTGAGCCACCACATCCAGCCTAAGCTGTCACTTTGACCCTGCACTGCTGCTGCCTCAAAGCCTTCCATCCCTTCCCCAGGCCTGGGGACACAAGGTCACTCTGCAGAGATCAGCCCTCCCCACTGTACACAGAGGGTCACAGCTGGAGCACAGAGTGGGCATCTCCACTCCAGACGACACTGCAGGGCACTGAGCCCCCAACAACCCAGCCCACCGTCTCCCTGATCTTCCTCTGATCTCTGCCCACAGCAGCCTCGGAAGCTGCCCAGCCTGTGGTGGAGGGCAGGATGGCACTACCTTCTCAGAAGAGGCCAGAAAGAAACAGGAGCTAAGGGACACACCTGACTGTTCATTCAGCAGCCACCCCTGCCCCCTGGAGCAGCCACCGTTGGGCAGGACAATAGATCTAGAGCCAGCTTGAGGCCCAGGGGCTCAGTGGAGGGCTCAGCTCCAGCCTCTGTCCTTAGAGAGCTGCTCATGGGGGAGGCACCCTGCTGCTGCGGACTGAATTGCATTCCTTCTATGCTTTTCTGAGGCCAAGGTGGGCGGATCACTTTAGGTCAGGAGTTGGAGACCAGCCCGGCCAACATGGCAAAACCCCATCTCTATTAAAAATCCAAAAATTAGGCAGGCATGGTGGCACACACCTATAATCCCGGCTACTCAGGAGTCTGAGGCAGAAGAATCGCTTGAACCCAGGAGATGGAGCTTGCAGTGAGCTGAGATTGCACCACTGTACTCCAGCCTGGGTGACAGAGTGAGACTCTGAAAAATGAAATTTCTATGTTTTTATTTATTCATTCATTTTTAAAAATTTCTGTAGAGACAGGGTCTTGTTATGTTGCCTAGGCTGGTCTTCAACTCCTGGCCTCAAGCGATCCTTTGGCCTCAGCCTCCCAAAGTGCTGGAATTACAGGCATGAGCCACCACAAGGAGCATCAAAATCCCTGTGTTGAAGTCTTAACCCCAGGACCTCAGAATGCGACTATGTTTGGAGACAGCCTTTAAACAGGTAATGATTTTTGACTGGGCGCGGTGGCTCACACCTATAATCCCAGCACTTTGGGAGGCCGAGGCAGGCAGATCACCTGAGGTTGGGAGTTCGAGACCAGCCTGACCAACGTGGAGAAACGCTGTCTCTACTAAAAATACAAAATTAGCCGGGCGTGGTGGTGCATGCCTGGAATCCCAGCTACTTGGGAGGCTGAGGCAGGAGAATCACTTGAATCTGGAAGGTGGAGGTTGAGGTGAGCTGAGATCTCGCCACTGCACTCCAGCCTGGGCAACAAGAGCAAAACTTCGTCTCAAAAAAAAAAAAAAAAGAGGCGGTGATTTTTAAAGAAGCCATCAGGGTGGGCCCTTACCCAATCTGACTGGTGTCTTTATAAGAGATCAAGACTTAGAGATGCAGGGACGTGTGTGCTCAGAGGAAAGACCATGAGAAGCAGCACCGAGGGGTGGTGTCTTCAAGCCAAGCCAAGGCGGGAGGCCTCAGGTGAGACGAAAGCTGCTCACCCCGTGATCTAGGACATCCAGCCTCCAGAACTGGGA